CAGCGGCGCCAGCTGTGCGCGCCTCGGTGGCGGTCAGGCAAGCGTGCACCTCCATCCAGAAAGCCCGCCTTTGGCTCTTCCGTTCTTCCCGAGCCGGCAGGGGTGGCGGGAAAGCTAGCTCGGAGCTCAGCCGCGAAATGGCTCTTCCCTGGATGAATGAATCCGCGTGGCTTCCATGTCAGACGCTTAAGTGTTAGTTAGGGAGCACTGCCACTTACGGTTCTGACTCTAGATCTTAAGGTTCGGGCTCTGCAGGTTGGCAGAGACCCTGCTGATGGATCAGTCGCTAAGCTGTGCCTCTCTCTGGCCAGTTTCAGGTGCTTTTTTTTTAACTTGTGTTTTCTTTCTGTTCCGGGCTGGCCTGCGCAGCCCTCAAGCTGGACTTGGAGAAGAAGCTGTTTGGACAGCACCTCGCCACCGAAGTGATTCTCAAGGCACTGACTGGCTTCAGGAACAATAAAAATTCCAAGAAACCACTGACTCTGTCCTTGCACGGCTGGGCTGGCACGGGCAAGAATTTTGTCAGCCAGATTGTGGCTGAAAACCTTTATCCAAAAGGCCTGAAGAGTAACTTTGTTCACCTGTTCGTCTCTACTCTGCACTTCCCTCATGAGCAGCAGATAAAACTGTACCAGGCAAGAAAACTCATTGCTACCTGCTTACCTGCCTGGGCCGCCTGCTAAGCAGCTCGGGCCTCTGCTCTCCACCTTGCCACAGCTTCATATGACCTCTGCTTTGCTTTTTTTACTTTCTGTTATTTGTTGACAATTTCCCTATGTAGGTCTGGCAGGCCTCAAATTCACAGAGATCCCCTTTCCTCTGCTTCTCGAGTGCGGGGATTAAAGGGTGGGCCTCCCTGCCCTGTATTTATACTTTTTGAGTTAAGATCTCATTATGTAGCCCAAGCTGGCTTTGATGTTAGGGATCCTACTGCCTCAGCTTTCTGAGAACTGAGATTAATAGACATCCACCATGTGTTTGTGTGTGTGTGTGTGGGGGGGGTGTCTTAGATAGGGTCTCATGTAGCCCAGGTTGGCACCAAATTCACTATATACCTGAGGCTGGCCTTGAACTTCTGACTCCCCTACTTTCACCTTCTGGAGTGCTGGGATTATATATGTTCGGCCTTCTCTCTTGAAATTGCTATTAATAAATTCAATGAGGTAGGGGATGGTATGTACATTAAAAGAAGGAGGCAGCAGCTGGGTGTGGTGGCATATGCCATTAATCCCAACACTCGGGAGGCAGAGACAGTGACTCTCAGAGTTTGAGGCCAGCCTGGGTCTACAGTATGAGTTCCAGGACAGCCAGGTTAAACATAGAGAAACCCTGTCTCGAAACAAAGAAAAAAACAATGATGGAGCCAGCTCGTGTGTGGGAGGTCATAGGTTCAATACCCGGGACTTGGGTGACGAGAAGGAAGGGGGCTGGAATAAAGAAAGATGGGCAAAAGAGGCAAGGTGAACTTGTTCTTACAGCCTGTACTACTCATCACTTCCCATCTGTCTCTTAGCCTATGTCTTAGGCACCCAAAAAGTGACTAGCCTTCCCAGCAGGGCATAGGGTGTTAGGCGAGGCAGTCTAATAGTTGGCTTGGGCGTGGCCTCATCGAAAGCTCTCCACCTGTGCCGTAGCCTGGATTTTGCCCAGTATCTTGCTGGGTACCCAGAGGATTTCCTTTTACCACTTTTGATTCCCTTGGCTTCTCCCATCCTGCAGACTTTCTTGTTGTGAGAGCTCTGAACATTGCATTGGCTGATTCTGACTTAAGTGACTGCTTACCTGTTGGTGCTAATCCTTCTAGGGACTGGGAAGAAGAAAGTGAAAGTGAATCTTTGTTTTCTCAACAGTGAGGCAGGGAGGAGTGCCAAAGGGAAGGGACAATTTTATTTTAAGGTGCTGGGGATCTAGAAACCAAGGTTTTCTCATGCTGAGGAAGTGCTGTTGCCACCAGGCTACAGCCCCCATCACAAGGTAAAGTTCATATTTTCCAAATTTTATTACAGATCCTTCGAAATATAGTATTTACAAGGGTTGTGGCCTCCCCAGGGCATTTTGGGGATGAGAGGCTGTTGCTTGGGTGTTTCAAGAAAGCAAGGGGGCAAGCAATGTAGCTCAGTGCTTTTCCTATCAGCCAGGCCAGCATGACATCTATTCAAAGCTTTGGTCCCCTGCATTGTAAAGGTCTGAATCCAGTTGTCATTTCTCCTTTTTCTTTCTTTTCTTTTCTTTTTTTTTTTTTTTTTTTTTTTTTTTTTTTTTTCGTTTTTGT